ATGGAATCCTTCTCAGAATATCTGTGCTGTTAGCATTTTTACTTGCTCAAGGCCCCATGGCCAGGTAGGACTATTTCCCACTAAGCATATTTGTGTGAAGGCACAATGATTATTCTCTCCCAGAATCTGGGTTGTTAGAGCTTCTACTACATTTCAATTTTATACCCAGTGTGACTGATCTTTTTCAGTTAAGCTGCTATGCAAATCTCATCAGTTGTATACATATGGGAGAACCAATGGAGGAAAAGTCTGTTATGAAAATGCTACAACCCATTTGCTTCAACAGACACAGAGAGGCAAACAATCACGTTCAGGTAAACAGAAGAAAATGAGTTTCATTAACAGGGAAGAACTAGGATATATCCACCCAACCATAACACACACACACACTCATTTTTTTCCCTTTTCAATTACAATTTTTCAAGAGAAAACATTTTACTTAAATAGCCCTGAAAAGCTTGGGCCTCAACAGGGGAGGGATACAGGCTGACTTCACAGTTTGGGGAACTCAACACAATAAGTTCAAGGTATTCCTAACTAAATTGGAGACATCGAGAACGCACTAATACTTTGGAGATGCCATTAAAAACTTTTCTGGTCAGTTTGCTCACTTTACAGTCACATTTCATGTATTACAATAATAACATCAATGAAATACTCTAACTTTCAGAAAAGTCTGAGGTGGAGCCAATTTCTTGTGTATCCCAAAGTGTCAGAAAGAAGTGTAAAAGTGTTCCTTTTCCTTGGCAAAGGGGATGTATACCACCTAAGTAGCCCTAATATTAGGATTCATCTAGAAATCTTTTGTTTTGTAATTAGCAAAGCATTTAAGAGTGCTTTACAATTTGTTTTTCTTTATGACCCAGAATTTTGTAGGTATAATTACTGAGGGATTCCATTCATTTCCTTTCTTCCTTTTCTTTTTTTTTTTTTTTTGCTTTGTCAACATTTTTTTTTCAATTACAGCTGACATTCGATATTTTTTTATATTAGTTTCAGGTGTACAGCCCTGTGGTTAGATATTTACATAATTTACCAAGTGTTCCATTCATTTTATACAAATGCAATGTTTAAAAATCTATGGAGTATTTTTCAGCTACTGTCAATTCAACAGCCCTTTGTGAAGACCAGGCCAAGGGTGTATCGGGAGATGATGATGATTGCCTCGCATCCATGTACTTTGGAGAGACAAAGCTCTATTAATACATCGCTATGGGACCTGGAGCAAGTTGCCCAGTTGCTGCTCCAGAATTCCGGTGTCATTTGGATTCCTCCCTCTCCCTCACCCACCCTGACCCACCCATGCACCAAGCAAGGTTGATAGAACCCCTCCAATCTGTCAACTTCTCTCCTTCCCCACAGCTACTATGGTGACCAGCTCTCCTGCCTCGCTACACACAGCAGACCCTGTCTGGTCTTCTTGCCCCAGTCTCACCCCCTCCGATCTCCTCCCACCACGGGGATTCTGAATGGAAAAGTCTGACCACCTCACTCTGCTGCTAACGCTTTTCTGTCACTCCCCAACGTAGCCCAGATGGGAAGTGTGGTTCTTAGGTCCTTCACTTGTAAGAAGGAGAGAAGACTACTTCCCTGAGTGCTGTGAGAATTAAATGGCTTAATGTAAGTCAGACCAATTGTTTAAATGAAAACAAACTACAAATGAATTCTTTTTATTGTATTAAGAGAAATTTTGATTTACCAGACAATTCAGTAATTAAGTAAAGTAGTTAAATACAATTACTTGAGTAACTAAATCAATTGAATGAATTATGCCAGAGGTTTGGTGGATTTATGCACGCTGTAACGATAAGTGGTGATACTGATTTTCTGTGCACTACATGTCAGAGGTCATGCCCAAATTCATGCTCAGGTGGCAACTGTACCTGCTGCACAGCAGGCGTTCAAAATATCTAAGTAGCAGTTTGTTTGTAATCCACACACTGGATTTGGTGTTTTGTAGACAAAGCTATCCAGCCCTGATTCTTTTTCTCAGAACTCTATCAGACTAGAAATCTATGCCTTTTCAAAAGATGTGTCTAGCAGTGCTTCTCATCTTTATGGAAAACCAAAAGAAATGCCAACACATCTGCAGGGTGCTTGTCAGGGTGGGAAATCCTCCAAATAGGATAATGTGTTCTAAGTAAAGATTCAACAACAATAAGTGAGAACCAGTTACTATCCAGTGAGTAATCACAGCTGTGTGTTAGGAGCTGATTGGAATTTTATTAACCCCAGAGACAGCCCTGAGTCATCAGAGATGAGTTTTGTGCCCCTGAATGAAATGAAACCTATAGTAGTAAGGATCAATAAAAACAGAAGCATAAGACCAAATTTTCTCAGAAAGAGAATTAATAAAATAATGAAAGCAGGAAATGCATAACTATTAGGAATATTTGGAAGAGTTACCACTACTTAATGACTTGTATTGCAGCTGTGCTGGACTTCAGTCAAGTGTGATATGAGACCAACGTTACCCTACCAGGAATAAGACAACACAACTGGCGTTTCTATCAATATATATAGATAACAAAAGATGAACACAAGTCAAGTGTGACTTCTGCAACTACAAGAGGTGCTCAAAGCAGTTACCATCAGTGTCCAGACACTTCTGATTATAGCGAACTATTGCTTGAGCAACGTTGACCAAACTGTCCACTTGTATACATTTTTTTGGCACCCCCGGTATATTCCATGGTAATGTTCTATGAAAGACAACACATTTCACAACCTTTCCTTCTGCTAGTACACGGTCTTTGAAATAGACCATTTCCTGATGTCCAACGAGATTATGCAGGAATTTTGAGACTCGGGACATGTAACTTTACGCTAACGCTTGTGGACTACTGCAGGAGAGCAGATGTGATAACACATGACCCAAAGGCCATGACTCCCCTTCCAGCCTCATAACAGACATCAATAATCAGTCATGGCACTCTTTCTACTTTGCTTGGGATTCATCCTCAATGTCAATTTCAACACAGCCTCTGTTAATCACTTCATATATTCCTTTAACAAATACTACTGAATTCTAACTGTATCAGGGAGGCACACAGCAGATAAAAGTAATTTAAACAGACATGGACCTTGTTGTCCTCATGGGTCTTAAATTAACAATTGATTTCACACAGTAATGGTTGAACTGGAACTAATTCTAAGTAGCTAAGTTTCTCTTCTATTATCAAAGGGGATTGAAGAAGATGGGTTCGGCACTCTCTACCTACTGGCTCCATCAGCCCATGAGACCTGTTGAACAGTAGAGGAATTAAAGATGAAAACAGCTGAACATGATTTTTTAGAGAGAGAAAAAGAGATGGCCGTCTTTTACTCATTTAAATATTTAATTTGTAAGTCAGACTATAATAAACTCATAAGAGAAGGCTTTATGAGAATTTTAGTATGAGTGAATTTTACTCCACTCCCCTAGAAAGACAGGGAAAAAGTGTTTTTTTTCCCCCCACCACAAGTGCCAGAAAGAACATCATCTACTATGTGGAACTAGAAAAAGAGAACAGATGGTTGCACGTATAACTTTTTCCACCACTGCCAAGCGTTGTGTCTTCTTTCCCCCTGAGCTGCAGAGGTACCTGGTCTGCAAGTCTGGCCTCCAGCCGACCCCTTCTCCACCCGCCTCACTTCCAGCCTGCCGAGCTCTCTTCTCTCCTATGAAAGGGGCTCACTCCCTAAGTGAAGACCCTGGCTTACTTCCTCCTTTTATTTTGAAATGGGGTGACTGCATTCGTACAATGGCAAACTGCTAGGAAGTGTGTTGTTTCCTCCAGTTATCCACCCCCCTGGAAAAGTGGAAAATGTGTAGACAGGAGTTTGGAGAAGCGGGGGCAGAGAAGTGGCTCAGGCTAAGTCAGGCTGGCAAGAGCTAAAACGATATTACTGCCAGTATCAGACAGCTGTTTACCGCCTCCTAAGACTAATCCTGGATGTGATCGGTAAGTAGTGTATAGTTGCCTTATTTAAAAAATTAGAAGAGTCCCACCAAAACGTAATTCTGTGGTACTGCCTTCCACGCAAAGACCCGGTTCTCTCACTCACCGGATGTAGACCCACTTTGTGTATTTAGGCTATCGATACTGATGGCTGCTTGTTTTGGCTTGATTTTTAATTTTATTTTGTCCCTGAGGTACGTAATAGTTTTGCTTTATTTTCTAGAGCTTCTTTTCATTTATTTATTTATTTATTTAAATCCCTCTCAACAAGTTTTGGAGATTGGCTGGAACTAAACAAGAAAGAACAAAATGACAGACAGAGTCTCTCTCTTATTCTTTCTCAAGGATCCATTTCTATTGTCAATTTGTATTTCTTTAAGGATTTTACATTTCTCCCCTCTGAATATTAGTTTATTTGTTTATTCTCTAAGAAGGGAAAACCATACCATAAAAACTATACTTGAAAAATGATTCATTTTTACCTTTTGCCCTTTTCACTATATAATGGCACATGCCAGCTCTTATATCATTATAAACTTGCTTAAGGAATGTGATATAATACATCATCAACTGGAACCAATTTGGTAACATTCAAAAGACATTAGCAACATTACATTTATGAATTTAGTAGAAAGAACAATATTTTACAATTCCAACTTGTAATAGAATGCAGTTGTGTTCAAGTACAGAGAAATCTTATGTTTTATTTTGGCCTTCTCAATAATTAAGAGATACAACTAAAATCTTGTCATTCATTTATTCATCCATCTATGTGCCAGACACTATTCTAGGTGCTACAGATACCGTAGTGAGCAAAATAGACAAGAACCTCTCCCTTCAGGGAGCATACAATTGATTGACTGGTCCTTGAAAATTCCCGTTGAAATTGACACTCAAGAAATGCATTCTAGAAGTTTCTACATAACTTGGCTAGAAGCTCTTGCATGACCCCTTTCTTTCACACTTTGCCCTAGGAAAGCCCCCTTTATAATGGATCAGGGTGGGTTTCTGACTCACTGGGAAGCTACAGAAAACGAATGTAGAAAATGGAAGTCTTACCATTAATAAATATATAAACTGTAGATTCAGTTTTCCTCTTCTTCGAAGCAGGCATAGAGACATATTTGCAGCTATAGAAGCCAGTGTGGTTTGCCTGGGCCGTGGTCAAGATCAGAGTACTGCAGAACTGCTTGCCGTTCTTTCCACAGGCAGATTTAGTTATGCTCAGCTTTTTGCTTTCCTTACTCACCGTTTCAGGCAAAGACCATGAGTGGGCTGCTGCCCCGCTTCAATACAGATAAGGAAACAAAACAGTTAGGTCTGGGGCAGTTCCAATGCCCTCACTGCATTAGGAAGCACTATTCTGAGGTCTTTCTTATGTGTAGTCACTTTCTTTACAGAAACACACACATTTCGAAAAGCTTTTTAACAACTCAGAAGAAAGATGCAAAAATGGTCCAGGCATCCCTTCCCATATCCCTCCCCACTTGCTTCCCATGGAGTGAGTCTCTCCTGGAGGTGAATCAACCTCTAGAGGAAGCAGGACATATGTGGTTTGCACTTAAGATGGCTGAAGTCCCTAGCTTTCTACTCTGAGAGGTGACCTTTCTACTTCATTTGGGAAGGGCAGCCAGATTATCCCCAAACCAACAGTCACTTACCTGCATTTGAGATACAGCGTCTGGCCTGCTTGCATGACGTGCTGGGTGCCTTTTAAACTCAGTTCAGGACTTTTTAACTTAGAACCTGAACTAGATCCTGGAAAACAAATTTTTGAAATGTATTATTTGCCAATTGTCCTCTCATCTTTTTCTTTTTTTAAGTTATATCTTTTCATAAGGTGACTTTTCATCTTTATGTTACTTGCATATGCAGAAAGGTACATCTAATACAAATTCCTCTTAATTCACTAATTTTTTCAGTCCAAGTCTTGCTCATGAATAGTATCTGTCCTATTACACCAAACAATCTAAATAATATCCAAAAGTCCATTAATTTAGAATATTAAGAGATTCATATATGGTTCAAAATGCAACTATATTAAGAATATGTAGTAGCTTGGGGCCCGGCCAGGTGGCACAGTTGGTTAGAGTGCATGCTCTTCACAACAAGGTTGCCAGTTCGACTCCTGCATGGGATGGTGGACTGCGCCCCCTGCAACTAGACTGAAAACACAACTGGACTTGGAGCTGAGCTTGCGCCCCCCACAACTAAGATTGAAGGGCAACAACTTGACTTGGAGCTGATGGGTCCTGGAAAAAACACAATGTTCCCCTTCCTCAACTCCCCAACACTGTTCACCTCCCCAATTCCCCAATAAAAGCTTTAAAAAAAAAAGAAGACTATATAGTAGCTTATTAAAAACTTTCAGGATAAAATGTCCATGAAACCCAAAATATAGTTCTAACACCAGTGTGGATCATCTGTATACACAGCCTGTCCTGACCTTTTCTCTGAATATAAAGTATAGAAACTTTCCTGGGTTCTACATGAGCTGTGATATTTTGGGTGAGTCATTTCTCAATCTGAACTAGTTTCCCATTTGGAAAACTAATTTTAGAAACAAAATCCGTTTTAGAAGCCATTTGGTCAGTCTTACATAATCTCCAAGTTCCTTCTATCATGGAACAGAAAAAAGGGAAAGGCTCCTTGCTCTGTGGCACTGGACAAGCAGGTTTCGTGGGGATTGCTGTAAGACAATGAAGTCAGTCAGCCCTGCAAAAGTGCCTTAAAATCTATACATATTGATCCCCCACACTCCTAAGAGCCATCCTGTGACTGGATGTATGACCCTGATCCAGTCACTCTCCTCTCCACAGCTCTGTAAAATGAGAGACTGGGCTGTTGGGCCCTGGATCTATGACTTTCCATCGCTGGCGTACCCAGTTTGGCACTACAGAGGTGGGTCCTCTCTGTGACCAGAAGACTGGATTCCAGTCAGGACCTCTCAACCCCTCCTTCCCTCCCCCCTCACTCGCCCCTCCCCCTCACAATCCTGCTCCTCTTCCTGCTGAGGCAGCTGCAAGGCTGGTGGATAAAAGCGCAGGATTAGCAGGGATGAGGCGGGAGGGAGAGGAGATATTCTGGGAGAGAGGAAAGTGAAGTATTTGGAGCCAATCTGAGGTTTTTTGGGGGTTTTTTTTACTTAAAAAATAGGTTTATGCAGTGGAATTAAAAGTGGGAGATTGAGCTGAACGGTCCAATGTTAGATCACAGATCGGAGAGATGAGATCACAGATCGGAGATACACAATCAAATTCCACGGTTAAGTCTAGTAGTGTTCCCTAGTGTTTCTCTTGGGTCCTAATATCTCAAAAAACAAACAAACAAAAAGCTAGACTCAGTTAAAGATCTGCATTCGAAGCCTAGTTTCTCCATTTACTCATCACGTGGCTTTGCACACTGCTTAATTTCTTGCTCCTTGGCATGCTCTTGTATGAAACTAGAAAACCCACGGTCTACCTCACAAGCGTTGTGTGTGGATTCAGTGCTGCATCCTCTCAGTGGAGGCCACGTTGCCCACCATCACTGCCATCTAGCGGGATCCCGCCCCGCCTCCACTCCTGTCAGAATATTTTGTTGGGTATGGAATTGCAAAGACATTAAATGAACATTTTCTGTTTTTATGGAGTTGCTGGCGATATAAATTAGTATTTTAATAGTACCTTTTATGTAAATAGGTCCTGGTCTCAAATTGTTACTGGAAAAAAGTGGCTCAACATAAATTAATTTAAATTAAAATCACCGTTTCATATAGATACAATTAGTCTACCACATAACCCCACAGCACAAGTCAACCCATTCAGGTGCCTAGGAGAGCATTTTGTACTTGACTCATACTTATGGGTTTCCTGAGGCAACATCAGTGATCCGTGGGAACACTAGGCTTTTCTAAAGCATCTGCCAGCAATTGATAATACCTGCCCTAAGAAATGCCTGGGCCAGAATAATTTCTGCCCTTCTTTATGGCATGGAACTCTAGGGATTTAGCTGAGCAATTATCCATCCGGGTGCTGGAAAAGATCCAGCACAGCTTCCTACAGAAAATTCTGGCACTTCTTGCAGTTATTCTCTTTGGTTTGTGTGGAGATGATGAGCTTGCTCATCCAAGAGAGGCCATGGAGAAGAAACCTCCCTATTCATGATGTGAGGCAATTCCTACTGCCTGCTGCTTTGGTTTCCAAATCATAGGAATCTTCCTTTTTTCCCCCTATTTTAATCATTATTATTTTTGCATTTTCCAAACATGTATGATACCATCTAAAACAACCTTCACCCACCCTTACAAAATCAGAAAGTAGGAGGAGGTATTTGCAGTATGAATATTTCTTTATCAGCAACCCAGAACACCAGTAATCCTGGTCCTCATCAGAAACAACCTTTGACCTCAAAGGACCACCCAAATGCCAGCCGAGAGAAGATCCCTCAAAGAACTCTCCATCATCTGCCAGGTCCTCCGGTCCCACCCTCCAACAGAAAGAAGACTACACAGCTGGGTGGTTACACAAGACTCTGAGACAAAAATGGGATTATTGGAAAGTGTAGGGGGAAAGGCTAAGAGAAATATTTTACTATATAATTCATCTCCACTGACATCAGTGAATTTTGTACTTGGAATGAGGAAGCTAGGTAAAAGTAGTTGATTAAAATAAAGGAAAGAAGTATAAGCAAACTGCAAGTAACTGGCCACAGAGTACATCACCATTCCTCAGTTAATAAGAAGCTAGAGTCTCATAAAGATTAATGGAGGTGCCAAGATACAGTTTAACAGGAAAACTAATAAGGAAAAGGGAAAGTGAAATATTTATTCTTCTAATGCTTTGAAATGACATTAGGCCTTAACACATTTCTTTGTGGCAGTTCAATGTGCATATACCTGCTTGAATCATGAAGGCTTAACTCACGTGTTTTGAGTACCTACTGCATGTCAGACACTTTCTCCAGCTCCGTAGTGATACATAGAAAGTTATAAATGTGTACAGGTCACATACGGGTCCATCTGCACACCACGTGCAGTCAGTTTGCTCTTCTAAATAGCTTGGAGTCACATCGTCTGTTCGGAAACAAACCCACAGGATGCCCCATTTCCAAGGGTGGAGTGCTACAATTTAACTACGACTCCCCATTGTGAAGCTTGACTGCCCCAATGTGAATGAAGCGCGAATGCCCCATGGGGTCTAAAACTTTCCCATTTGCCAGGTAGCCTAGAAGTCTGGTTTAAAAGACTCACTGTTCCCTCAGTAAACTAAGTGGTCTGTGAACTATTTTCATCAAAGTCAACTACAATACAACCGTGCAGGGCAAAGAGGTCTCCTTATATCAGGAAAAATATTCCTTAAATAAAACAAAAAAACTTAGTGCAGACCATGGGAATGAGCTTTATCGCATGCTTCTTCATTAGGAAAAAACTATGAAGCGGTGTGGGCTGATAGCGCTAAAAACCCAGTGTGTGTCTGTGGACTCATGTGAGCACCGACACTTTGTTGTTTGTGTCTGAATAACTGTCTTCTTTGCTTGACTGCCCTGTATTGTCTGGTAGGTAGAAAGAGAATAGAGCTTCAGGAGTCTAACAGAAATCTCCCTCTCCCCCTACGCCAGCACTCTGGTAGGAAACCCACACACAGGCTGTTCTATTCCCCACCTTCACTTCACGAGGCCACATGGAATGCTTTCTTGGACTTCCACGGGAAGAGCGAGTCAAACTCTGAGGATGGCTTTATTTTTGCAACCAAATCCAAAGCCCAAATGATTGAGGCTCTTTCTTCAAAGCTACTGTGTTGGATCCCAAAGGCATGAACTCCCACCATAGTCACGAGGAACCACACACGGTTTGCCATTTTAAAGCCGAGAGAAGACCATTCTGTAAAGTCTGGTTGGAAGTACATTTAGAAAACTGCCATCTTATTGATTTGCATAAAAACAGTTTTTATTGGTTGAGTGCCCTTTAAGACAAGTCTCTTAGGTCCTCTTCCTTCCAGATGACATCCCTTGGCCTCTACTAGATTGAAATCCAAGGGTTGGTCTCTGGGAGAAAGGGCCTTATTCAAATACAAAACATGAAATGACTAAGTTTCCATTTTTTATATAGAATCATTCATCTCCCCAGTTCTGCTAGTAACTATAACCGGCTCTGTTGTGACCATGGGCATGTAACTTTAAGCCTCAGATTCTTCCTCTGCCAACAGAGGGGGCTGGACTGAGATTTTTACAATCCCTTCCAGCCTGAAGATTCTGTGATTCCGAGATCACACTAATTGATACCAAATGTACAACTTAGAAATCACATCTAAAAGATACTTATGACCAATAAAAAGACAAATAACTCAATTGAAAAAATGGGCAAAGGATCTGAATAGACATTTTCCCAAGGAAGATATCCGAATGGCCTATAAGCTGGATGTCATTAGCCACCAGGAAAATGCAAATCAAAACCACAAAGAAATACCACCTCACACCCACAAGGATGGCTTAAATAAAGAAGACAGACAATAACAGGTGTTGGTGAGGATGTGGTGAAATCAGAGCTCTCACATATTGCTAGCAGGATTGTAAGATGGTGTGATCATTTCGGAAAACAGTATGGCGGTTCCTCAGATGGTTAAACATAAGTTAAATATATGACCCAGGAATCCCACTCCTAGGTATCTACCCAAAAGAACTAAAAACACACATCTGTATAAAAACTTGTCTATGGCAACATCACTCATAACAGCCCCAAAGTTGAAAACACCCCAAATGCCCACCAATGATAAATGGGT